TCTGCAGAAGTCAGATGAGAATTTGTCAGTTTTATTTATGAAGATGTAGGGCAAATGGGCTCTGGAGTGTTATTTTCCTTGTCTCATTAACATGGTGAATTTTCATTCAGCTGCATGACTGATGCAAAATGTGAAACGTAATGTGAGCTGAGCAAGTTTAGATTACATTAGGTGACTTTATTATGTCCCGGAGGAGAAACTACTTTCTTCGCCCACGCATAATTACAAATAACAACAGAGACACAAGTCAAACAGGTCATGGCAGACAACGTATGAAAGATAAGCTGCCAAAACCGCAGCACTAACACACAAATACTCAAATACGACATCAGTGCAGCCCAGGAGATACTAAATCAAAACAATGTACGTATTTAATATAATCCAACACTTAACAAATAAAAGACAGACCACAAGTTATGAAACTGGGACCAGAATATGGGCCATAAATGTGAAATTTTGTCATAACAATACACATGAAAGGAAACCTTAAGAAATGTGTCAAAAGTACAACCCATATCTAAGATAACAAGCAAGTATCTCACCTCATTCAAGTTCCACAGCTGTGGGTGACAAATACCCTCTAATTAGTTCTGTGGAGCATCTTTGACTGTTTTAGACAAACAGACAAACAAAAAAGGTGTAAAGGATGAAAGAGAATTTCAAATGAAGCTATTGATGCTTCAGCCTATCTGAGAACATCATTGTGTCCATTTAAAGCAGATCCAGGGATTATACTCAAGATTCAGAGCATGGCGAGAAGGATCAAATGTACAACACCTAATGCCTGCGGACTCAAGTCTGTTGTTAAATATCCTCTCGTGTACCTAAATCCCTAATCTCATCATGCTGTTACATTCAGTCTCTCAAATCTCTGCATCAGATGCTGCAGTAATGCAGAGCTCCAAAAATAGTTCACATACAGTATCTCTCAGGGGATTTCAGTCTGAGGTGACGCCTTTACAGGATTCATGGTTAATATTCATTTTCAGCAAACTACTTGAAGAGAAGTTAAATGCTGAGGAGAACATCCGTCTTCTGTCTGTCTCTCACACGCACAAATATACACACTTCTCACCCAGTCAGCACTGTTGTGTTCATCATTAGAGCGTCTGACGGCAGCATTAAAAGTGATGGATGCCTACTGTTTGCTTACTACTGGACAAATCACATGTTTGATTCAGGCGGCAACCTCCAGTTCTGCCAAGTGAAGCCAAAGCGGGAGTGTCTTGTGACTCCGCGGTTTCAAAAAGCAGTCTGATTGTATAGAAGTCTATGAGAAAATGACTCTATTTCTCTCTTGATTTATTACCTCAGTAAATATTGTAAACATGAGTTTATGGTCTCAATCTCTAGTTTCAAGTCTTATTCAATACAGCATGATGTTCATTTAGTAAATGATGGTCCATTTAGAGTCTAATAGACCATGAAGCAGAGTATGCTTTAGGGCGGGCTTACTGTGATTGACAGGTCGCTGCCGCTACCAGAGCCGTATACAGCGCCTCTACGTCACTCCTCCACATTCCAAATATGGCAACTTCCGTTCATTGGTTGCGGAAAAAAACTGGCTTGGCGACGGCCGTAATCCGCCAAATCTCCAAACTCGAGGCTTCAAAACAGCAGTCCATTACATTACAGTCATTTAGCAGACGCCTTTATCCAAAGCGACTTACAATTCAGTGTCTATCTATACACCGCAGGCACAGCTATGGGAGCAATTAAGTGTCTTGCTCAAGGACACATTGACATGCGACTAGCGGAGCCGGGGATCGAACCGCCGATCCTCTGATTGAAGGATGGCCCTGCTCTCCACTTAGCCACGGTCACACAAAGTCCACAAATCAATGGGTGACATCACAATGACTGTGTCCACTTCTTATATATGTCTATGGTTTGATTGAGTCAGATGGTCTGACGGTATGCCAAAGTCATAGATATCTACAGAAAATGTAAAGGGATGGCTCTTGCCAACAGATGACACCACTCTTATATCTGTACATTAATCATGACATAGGAGCCATCTAGCTAGCTTAGCATAAATATTGAAAGCAGGGGGAAACAGCTAGCCTGGCCCATCCAAAGGTTAAAAAATCTGCCTACCAGCACTTCAATGCTCACAAATCCACATGTTAAATATTTGCTGGTTTAATCCATACAAAAACCCAAGTGTGAAATGCCCTATTTGCGGTTTAACCAGCGGTTTTGTGCGGGACTATTTCTTGGCTGAGCACATTAACTTCTTGGAGCCTCCTCCGTTAAGTTAATCATCTCCTGGCTTCTGCTTCATATTTTGGCGTACAAACATGGAAGTGGTATCAATCTTAATAGTGGTGGTAGATGAAAGGTCAGTGGGTCACAATATCTTTCTCTGTGCATCATCATCCATACAGAATTTAATAGCAATCTGGCCACTATTTGTCAAGTCAAGATATCTTGCTCTGAATGGACCAACAGACACTCGGACTCCAGCAAGCCAATTGACATTCCCATACTTAGGCTGTCCTGCTAGAAAAGTGATAAATGGGGGGGATAACATCCTGAAATCAGAGCTGTCTTTCCTAACTCTCTCCGGGAATCTTCAATATACATCTTCCAAGTCCATCTGCAGGAGATTTCCCCCAATAAACCCCGGTCATGATTTATTAGATTTCTAGCAAACAGTCAGGTTGAAAGTTCAGCTCCTCCTGTGTGGGACTAAAAGCAGGTTTGATTTTCCGGTTTCTGCTGGTTTGCCAGAGAACACAGCAGTTTATTAATCACACACACGACGGGTAAAGAAGAGTGATTCCATACCTGTGGTTTTCTAACCTTGGTTCAAGGAGGCTCGAGGGTCCTGGAGGTGTTTCCAGCTGGTCCCCTGAAAAAAAGTGGAACACTTTAATTTCACTCCATCACCGCAGCCAATAAAAGCTTTTTGAATCAGGCGTCTCACCCGCCTCTGTTATCTTTTGACACTCTTCCATCAGTGTGGAGCTGTGAGATAACATAGAAGCTCTTCACAAAAGAAGGACAAAAACTCTTTTCTTCTTTTTTATACATTTCATATATTTAACTGAATGACAGGACATGTGGATTCAATCAGTTTAATTAAAAGATCCAATTAATCATTCAAGATAATAAAGACACAGACAAAATCTTTATCTTTAGCATGGAGGTCTGCTGTTTACAACCTGCAACCTACAACATGTGAATTGATCAGTTCATCATGGTTGAACTGCAGTCACTTCTTCAATGAATTGTTGGTTACCTAAATCAAAATAAGCTGTTGCTAAGTAACATCTGGTTTAGTCTGATAATCAGCCAACTAAATATTATATTCTTCGTGAATAATCGGATGATTACTTTCTGGATTAAGGGATGTATCACTTGGTAGGCCTGAGGCTTTCAAAGGCTTTGTTTTGTCCGACTTTTCAGTTTACAATCATTTCAAACTCGGAACCCAATCGGCTGTCGATCTGACGGCGCCTTCTCCATGTGCTGCTCATTGTTTACAATCCGTTTAGCAACTTGAGATGCGAGACACAATAGCTCACACTGAGCTTCATTGGGAGGGAGGTAGCGTCTTGCTCAAGGAAACTTCAGCAGGGGGAGACAATGACATAAGCACCTCCCACAGCCAATGTTTATGCCACAAGTCTGTCAATGATCACAGGTAATACAGTGGTAAATACATTTCAGCCATCCGCTCAAAGATATTTTGAGATGCTCCAAGTGCCAAGCAGCTTTGACTGAACAAAAAGGGATTTTTTTGTTTTTTGCTGCTTCCATCCCGCTCTAAGCTGCCGACTGAGCTCTGAGAGAGGCGAGCCGCTGCGGAGTGGAGATAAGGCTGTACCTGCCAGCCATGCTCATCACTGTGTGTGTGTGTGTTTGTCTGAGACACTGCGCATGTCCCAGGTCTACCAAGATAAGAGGCTCTCAGGAACCCAACCGAAAAATCGGAGCTACACTAAACACCCAACAGAGATCAAGTCAAGCGGTACAAAGGAAAAATACTTATTCTTTTTCGGAATTGGCTGAAATGGAAAAAAAGAGATAAACAGAGAAGTGATTTCCTCTACAGCAGCAACAGAAACACTTATCGGTTCTCCACTGTGTGGTAACGTTAATTAAAGGAGAGGCAGCTGGCCTCGGGTCTGTGGATGCTCATTCCTGCAACTTGGAGAAGAGGCAATTATAATGATGATGATGACATGGTTATGAGAGACCTTCTCATAGTTATGATGTATTCCAATTATGTGATACAATGTAATAATTATGAGAAACATGTGAGAAATGCTCTCATAATTACGAATTCATATTAAATACGTATTGTCTCATCATTGAAACATGTTGTTATAACTATAATTATGATAAATTATGAGATAGTTTATCATTATTATGAAATACAAAGTAGCAAGAAACTAGAAAGCAAACTTATCTCATAATTGTGAGAAAACTTTGAAAAATCATAAGGTAGTTCCTATTAATTAGATCAATTATTATGAGAAACATTCTCATGATTATGGCTTACAATTACAATGTATTATCTGATACTATTTGTATCTCTAGCTCTTATCATGGCAAAACAATCTGTCATAAATACAAGACACAAAGAGGGATACCAAGTCATAACTTTTTGATACTTTTAGTCACAATCATGTAAAAGTGTCTCTCAAAACACATAAAGGAGTGTTACATTGAGGTTAGTTCCCTCCTCAGCTACTGAAACTGTGTGTACAGTCCACCATAGATGATCCTCTCCCTTGTTGTTTCATGTAGAGGCATAAAGAAACATCTCTTTGTTTCTTTCTTTCTGTTTCATATAAACAGCTTTAAACCAATAGGCTGACCTCTCTCTCCCCATATACACCACTCATATACAAAACACGACAGATCTATCATCCACAGCCCGACACAGCATTTCTACTTACATTCTGCTGATAGTAACTCTTTGTTGCATCTACAGCCCTCCATTTCTCACTCTTTCTGAGAAAATGACAGGAAGCGTAGTAGGAAGTGGTTTATTTTTTTGTACATTCGTCTCATTGCGTTCTCGCCTATTTCTGCAAGAATTGTGAGTAATATCGCATCGGGCTTCTTAGACTCTACCGACAGGCTTCTCTGATGCAGGGTGTGAAGGATTGTGCTTGTTTAAACTCAAGCAAAGGGAAGCCGATACCACGAGCCACAAGTCATGCCTGAAGGAGTGTGTTGTGTGACCTCATGGTGCAACCATGACAAGAGCAGCGCTGATTAAACTCCTCATCCTCGTGATCCTCGCCTTCATCATCTGCCTCCCAGAATTCTTCACATTGTACAGAGGTGGGTCATCCAAAGCCACTTCGAATGGAGGTTTATCCACTCTGTGTGTGTGTGTGTGTGTGTGTGTGAGTATAGTATGCTTGTGTGTGTCTTTGCCAATTGTCCACAGCCTTTAGAAGCGTTAAAAAGGCTGTGACTAAAAGTGTTATTCTTCGACGTTTTGATCAAACTTTATTTCAGAAGTTTACCGTTAAAAGAAGTAAACTTTATTTTGTTGAGTCACTTTGTTCTGTTCCTTCCTGTTCTTGTTAGCTCTGTTTAAACGTCTTTCTTTCTTTCTCTCTGAGCTAAACTAGAGTCACTGCCTCGTGGTTGCATGTCATGTTGCAGTTTACACCCGTGTCTGTCCAAAATGTCACCACTTCTTCATCTTATCCTATTAGACATTTGTGTAAAAATTGTCATAGTTGGCATATGAATTCTTGAGTTATGGCCAAAAAGGTGTTTTTTGAGATCACAGAGACCTTGACCTTTGACCAACAAATTCTAATCAGTTCATCCTTTAGTCCTGATGGACATTTGTGACAAATCTGAAACAATTTCGCTTGAGGCGTTTGTGAGATATCACAAGAACGGCACGGACGTGAGGTCACAGTTACCTTGACCGTTGACCTCTAAAATCGGATTCAGTCCATCCTTGAGTCCAGGTGGACATTTGTGCCTGAGATATCTTCACGAGAACAGACTGGACAGATGGACGTACGGAAATCATAACGCCTCCGAACACGGCTGTCGCCCAGCACGGAGGCATGAAAAAACACTCCCACATAACTCCATACAACACTGACTGAAGGCTGCTTTGAAAGTGCTTCTGTATTGTATTGCCTTGAAAAGCTTGTTCTCTTTATGAAGGCAGCTTGCTTTAGGCTTTGCACTCGCGCACGTCTTTGCCTTCAATGGTTTCGTCTTTTTGTCTGTGCCTCTCCTGTCTGTCTTTGTGTGTCAGACATAAACTGGAGGCGATAGCTTCCATTTTGAGATCCCGCTCTGATTCCTGACTTAAGAGCACTTTGCTTTTTTTTTTTCCCCACCCTAATCCGGCTCCCGCCGAGAAATTGCTCTGAATCGTCTGTTCGTTCTTTTTCTCCTTTCAGTATCAAAAGTGAACTTCCTCTGCCTGCCCTACCGACCCTGTGAGCGAGGGAATCGGCTGGAGAAGGGGGGAAATGAAACGAGTGGTGATGCTGAAATTTGGAGAGAGGATTTGTGTGACCCTCCGTGGACTCCAGGAAGTAGCAAGTGGGAGCAGGTCTGCACACGGGAGAATCAAAGCAACGCGACAGATCCTGAGTCGGACTCCGGGAGGGCCGGTGAAGACCCAGAAAAGAACTGGTTCATGTGTGAAGCGGATATGGACATGGCAGAATTACATAGAAACATGTCATCTTCAGGTATTACGCAGTTATATCGATACGATTTTGTTCTTTTTAGCCATGTGGCTACAGGGATATCAGTCGGCCCAACACTTTGGTCCAGACTGAAATATCTCAACAACTATTGGATGGATTGCAATGAAATCTTATGCAGACATTCATGGCCCCCAGAGGATGAATCCTACTGACTTTGGTGATCCCCTGGCTTGTCCTCTAGTGCTACAAAGTTGTTGAGTGAAATCTATCTAGCTCACTCCCGGTTAAACTTTGATTCACATCAGCATTGTACTCATCACAGATCTGAATCAGGGCCTTTATTATTTGGAGATTGAAGTTGGTGAAGTACAGTTAGACATCTGTTAATTTAATTTCCGATGAATTTAAAACATTTCTTACATTATGCTACTCGATCTCATTTTCAGGTTGTAGCTACAGTTTACTCACATTAACTGCCACTGAAAACTGTTGTGTTTGTGCTTTGTAGGCTAACAAAAGACACAACTTACTAAGCCATAACTTTTAGATACTTTTAGTCACAATTAGAATGGTAAGGACGTGAGGTCACAGTGATGATGTGTCTATTCGGCTGTTACCTCTGCATTCATCTATCTATCCATTCACAGCTCTGAAAACACACATCGAGGTGTCGGTGGAGCTTCAGCTTAGTGATACAGAGACCCTGAATCTCACCTTGTATGGCAGCAGCAATCACAGCTCCTTACACCTCCGCCCACCTGAGGAGGAGGAAGAAGAGGAGGAAGAAGAGGAGAGGAGGGACGATGAAGGGCAGAGGAGGGCGTTTTACTGCTGCCTCCCTGTCCCGCCCGCCGAGGAGCCGGCCAATCAAAGACGCTGTCTCCTTTGGCTTGCCAATCGAACAGTTTTGACTGCAACAGCGCAGGAAAAGCTGCCATGGAAACGCACACAGAGAGGTCGGTGTCAGGATGAGAGCGAGCTCTTTGTCCCCTGTGTGGTCAGCGTGGCTTTACTCTACAATTGGAGAGAAGAGAGGGAAGAAATTGGCCAATCAGTTTTCATTTTGGGTTAAATTGATTCAATCTCATTCAAACCCGTCTTCTCTCTCCATCCACGGTGGAGTCATTTCTTTCAATAGAGCCAAATTTTCCTCAATTCTTCTTCTCTTGACTTCAATCTCAGCTCTGTGACTTCGTTTCCCTTTCCTCACTCTGGGATCCTACGGCACAGAGAAACAGTACATCTTAATCTACTGTATCTACAAGGCTGTATTGATTCTGGCTTGCTCTCTTTCTGTTCATCTCTCCAACACTCCCCCAAGCTACGACTAACTCATACTTTCCAGTGTGTGTGTGTGTGTGCGTGTGTGTGTGTGTTAAAAGCTGGAAACCATCTCACTTTAACTTTTCCACTAAACTTTTTCCATCCTCTCCCTTTCCTTTCTGCTCCCATTTGTCGCTGTATCTTCTGCTATTATTTCTTCGTTTTTGTCTCATTTCTGGATTTATTAATCTGGATATTTTCTCCTCTCTTTTGCCCACCAAATACATTTGTCAGGCGAGTCAGTGAGTCCATTGTAACGAGGGAAAGCACCCAAATCCAGACAATCAGAACATGTTGGTAATTTAGTGATAAAATGAAGTTACATAAGCTTACAGGCAGACAGGCAGAGATTTAAAGGTTAAGGTTCAGGTTCAGGTGGCTTGATAGTAGGGACCAAAGCAACTGAGTCGGGGAAAAAGGAAGCTGGTATGTATACATGTACCAACAGGGTTGTGAAAAAAGCCTTCTTGTTTCCCTGAAATGAAAACTCACTGACCTCTGCCAGTTTTATTGATGGCCTATCAGTGACTACCAATCAGGTTGGAGCATTTCTGGGCCTATGGTAGCTATGTGAGATTGTTAGTGATAATTCAGAAAAGAGACAGTTCATGTGAAGTTTTAAGACGCTGCTTGTTGCTGTTGTGCGTGCAGCTATTTGTAAATGATGCCAAACATTTCAATCAGTATTTGTATGGTTATGTATCTCTTTTGACTGTTTGGTTTTCATATTTTCTGCAAATCAGAGTAAGTGATAGAAGTCGTGTGTTAAAGTTGTCAACTCATTTGTTAACTAGGTTTAGATATGCAGTGTGTAGGTTTGCTTATTATTTGGGTTTATTTACTTTAGGCTGAATAAGCAACAAGTGTATTGTGGATATCTGTTCTGGATATCCCAAAAGATAATAATAGGCCAAAATACCTCACTTCAGCTATGACTATAGTAACACTTGGATTGTAAACATCTGAAATGGGAAGTTTTATAGAAAAAAATCTATTGCAGATATCAAAAACACAATTGTGAATATCTGAAATTGAAAGACCATGCAAAGGAAAGGCAGAAGTTCCTTGGAGGAATGTCACTGTGGATATCTAAATTTGTTTCGATAGGAAGAATTACACTACAGTTAACTTCACTACATATCCAGTCTAGCTAATAAATGTCAAAACATCCACCCATACTTTTTAAAGATTTAAATATATCGTGTTGTTAGAAATGTTGTCATGGATATCTTTATAATTACCATGAAACATATCATGGATATCTAAAATGTAATTGCAGTTAGGAGTGTGGGTGAGATTAATTGTTAAAAGTGTTACAGTCTCTGTGTAAATCCCTCTCTGTGCTCCAGATGAGTGGTTCTGTGTGTTCAGGGCGCTCTGGCTAGTTCTGCTGTGTGTGGTGATGCTGACTATAGTCACAACCGTGCTCGGACAAATCTATTGGAGACGCTCATGCAGTAAGACACGCACGCACGCACACACACACACACACACACACACACACACACACACACACACACAC